CCGAAAAAAAAAACAACAATAATAATAATAATAAAAAATAGTAAAGCAGAGACCGCTGCGGGTAAGTTGGCAGGGCCGGAGGATTTCTGCAATCAGTGGAGAGACAGGCACAATTCGGAAACAGAGGGAAGAAGACAGGTGTTCCAGATACCTAGCGACCAAGGCCCAACACAGGTACCATGAGCTGACAGGCTAAATTGCTTCAGGGGACTTCGAGAAATGCTCGGAAAAGATTTGGAGTTTATGTTTCTGGAAAAGTAAAAACTATAGTTGAGGGTTTAGGGTTTAGGGTTTGGACAGAATTAGGGCAAACAGGGTTCCGAATAACAGAGTTTTCATGTGGCTCACATGGGGGATTTACAGTTTAGACAAAATTGGCAGCTTCGGCAGCTTCTAGGACCTTTTCGCTAGTCATGCTTTATACGACACGTTTTCGCAGTAGACCTGAGAGGAAAGGATGAAGCACGGCAAGCCGACAGTCAATCCTCCACGATGTTGGAGCAATCAATGCTGGTCAGGGGTCCTTCGGCCGGACGGAAGGAAGCGTGGGTGAGTACTTATGATGTATCCTGTTATTCTGACTTGCCGGTGGAATAGGAACCGGACTGATGGTCCCCAGAATGGAAATGGAGCCAGGACTATAAGGGCCTGTTTAAAAAAAAAAAAAAAAAAAAAAAATCATCTGCCATTCCTCTCCCAGGTCTTGCACTCATCTCACTATCATCCTCCCCCACATCTATCGTACGGCCATCATCGCTGTATGTAGACTTCCAAGTTGCCCCAAGTACATAAACAACAATGACCGCACGTGTGACAAGTGACGCCCTATTCCTGTGAGCAACGAGCAGAACTCCACCATGGCGGGATCTGGAATAGCAGCGGACTATTCCTTTTGGGGGGCATCACTCCGGGTGATTACCACCGGCAAGCATGAGTTTGAGGAAGAGAAAGATTTGCAAAAAAGGGGACAGCCATACCCTTGCGGTCCTAGTTGCCTATCAAAGGGGGGCCTCCTACTGTCTTTTTTTTTTTTTTTTTTTTTTTTTTGAAACATCTTGGTAGCACGCCTGAAATTTCGAGGTTGACAAGAGGAGCATCACCCGGGTTGAGCTCTCGCACAATTCACGACTCCAATCTAGTGTATTGTTTGGAACAGAAAGTGACGTCCATCGCTGCGACAACCGCTAAGTCGCGACGATTCTCTCTCTCTCTCTCTCTCTCTCTCTCTCTCTCTCTCTCTCTCTCTCTCTCTCTCTCTCTCTTGCTGTATGTGTGTGTGTCTGAAAACCACAAACGTGGAGACAGAGATTCACACCTCCACGTTTTCAGCGATCTAGGTGCGGATGTTTGGCATCGGCGTTACCAGCAGGTCGGAGGGTTTCGGGAGACCCAGCATTGAGAGAGTGAGAGTAGGGGTGACCTTGCGCCAACATCTCTTTTCTGTGTGACTCCGCTCGATGTCCGAGTTCGCACAGAAGAGTCTCAGGGCATACTCAAGCTAGAACTTCTTCACCAATTTCTGGAGGTAATTGCGGTCCAATTCTTCCGTTCCAGCCGCAATTTGCACTCAGATACAGGCCCTCGCTGCACGACTCGCCAGACGTCCAAAATGAGAACGTATCTTCCGCTAAAATGGGGAAAGATATATACTCACATTTGATGAGTGGCGCGACGAGTTTGATAGTCTGCTCTCACGATGCCAGAATACCAGCTCCAAAGTCAAACCTGAAACGTCGGCGTTCTCCCGCTTATTCTTTGGTTGTGACTTCCGCGTAGTTTCCCCTTTTTGGGGAGGGTAACTTCAGTAGAGACACAAAAACGAGTTATAATTGCACTACGGGGCAAGATACAATTTGCAATTGCACTTCGCGCACCGTACCTGGCCAGAAACCTGGGTTGTCTTCATTGCCCGAACTGCAGTTAGAAAACTGTATCTTGGCCCATAGTGCAATTACAACTCATTTTTGTGACTCCAGCGTAGTTTCCACTTTTGGGGGGTAACTTCAGTAGGGTAACGTTCTATCCTCTCCCCTCCTCTCCTGTTTCCTTCAATCTATTTTTAGGGCCCAGTGGCACTACTCCGCCGTTGTTGTTTTTTTTCTTTTTTTTTTAACATCGTTCAGAGCAGGGAATTCTGCCACCAGGGTGGTAGGAGCCCCTGGTGATAGGAGCCTGCAAGAGGTCGATGGCTCCCATCTATTCATGGGGAGTCACACCTGCTGGAAATTGGGTCCAGCGCCCCTCATAATAGTTACAGATATTCCTCCGGAACGAAAGTTCAAGGCTGTTTATGCAGCCCGCCTTGCCAGACCACACAGATTTCTTCACCTATTAGGGCGCCAAATATTTAGTTCTATACTACCCTGTGACAAGCCAGGATCCATACTCAGCAGCTTTCCGTACCCTTCGGGGGAAGGGTCCAAAGTAAGCCTCTAAGTACGGATTCTGGTTGATTTAGAGAAGCGGGGTCTATTTTTCCAGAGTGAAGGACGGAAAAGAAACTTGCATCTTTCGGAATTGCCCATGTTGATCTCTCCGCGAGGACGGTTAGCGACTGTGCCGAGAAATCCAAGAAACGGTCAGGAATAAGTGTGGTCGGAATTTTTTAATTTCTTTCGCAATATCGCGCGTGCGGCTGTTCATCAAATTTCTTGCACGTAACGTAAACTCGCTCCCTGCTATGCGTCTACGTGCCATCTTCCCTTCTTGTTGCTCTCTCCTTCATGCACGCCTCTTCGTCTTCCCCCAACGACATTCGATCCTCCCCTTACCCATCATCGTGGGCGATTGGCTGTCTAGTTAAGATGGTCGGGTCGCCCATCACTTGAACGATTACCCCAATTACACAGAACTTTCGACCCGCCTCTCTCGATCCTCCTAGAATCCCTGCTTTTCTTCGGTCCTGCTCATCTACACCCCTTGCTACCCGCACCTCGCCGCCTTCCGCGCTATAAATTCTTGCAGTCCCCTCCTATCCTCCTCTTTGATCTCGCCTGCAATAGTGCGCAAGCTATGCACAAAGTCCGCAGCGTCGAACAGGCTTGACGTGCCCAGTGACAGGCGGAGTGACAACGTGGGGTGGAACTAGGAGCAGACTTGGGGTAAGACAGTCGGGGTGACGGAGCGGTGATAGAGATCGAACGCCGCCAGCGGCAGGGCCTTGTGGCTATGGTTGGTTGATGTTCAGACCGATGGGGGCTGCGCCTGAGGGAGGCCAGCCGTGTGTGAATTTTGAATAGCGAGGGACTCGCTTTTATCTCCATTGCTGCTTTGTCGAAGTGTAATGTGTGCAGTGTCCCAAGCGGGTACACAGTTGTATGCATGCTGATTGGTACGAGAGTCTACGGATGCTGAATGACTCACTGTCCAAGAGAGATGAATGTGTAGATGTGTGGGCGCTCACGGGTGCAGCTCTGGGGAACACGAGGAT